TGTTCGAGTTGCAATCACAACCGCAGTGTTGCGCGAATTATTAGAGTATCACGTTTAGTGTGAATTTCTAGCAACGTATTGTCAGTTGGGCAGATGTAACAGTGTTGCAAAATACTCAATAAATACTCAAATTAAGATCGGAACATTACCCGCAATTGGAGAATGGAAATTGGCTTTCTGACTTAATGTTATTTACCGATATGATGGAACATTTGCAAAACTTTAATTTCTCTCTACAAGGGGAGAATAAAACTGTTTTTTGATTTGTCGCAAATTATTTTAAGTTTTGAAGCTAAACTACGTCGAAAGAGTTAAAAGAAGATAAGGCGCTGGAAATGCAACATAAAGCTTTGCCATTGCTTGAATTCCGGCAACAAGTACCAGTTTTAAAATATCCGCTGTTGAAAACAGCTGCGTGCCGTATATTTTCAATTTTTGGTACAACGTATAACATACTCACCATTTGTACTCTACAATGAAATTCGTAAAGTAAAAATACCGTTCACAATTAGTTGCTTTCGCATACCAGTTAATTATTGAAAGTTATAAAAATTATTCAGCCTCATTGCGCAAGACGTAAATTAGGCTAAATTGTACGACCCGACAACATTGGCATTGCCTACTGTCGTGCTGAAATAAGTAAACGACGAAAATCGTCGGAAACTTCGCAGTGCTGCCAAGTTTTTCCGTTTTAATACACTAGTCGAGTGGAAATTTTAGGCAATGACGTGAAATTTTCGATACGATTCGACTCTCGAAAGACGACTTACATTCGATACGACTCTTGCAATGAGGGTGATTAGCTTTTTGTTCTCGTACGCAAAAAACGTGCAAAGTAAGGAAATTGGGAGAGCAAAATGGCATTTCATTTGAGGGAAATCTGCTCGTTTCTGCTGGAAAAATTTTTGCCATCAGCAATTTGCCTACAAGAAAACAGCTGATCAAAAACTGCTGGTTGGAATTTACGCAAATCCCTAAATTGAATTTGATGGTTTGGAAGTTAAAATAGTAAAATGCGACTAATTAAACTTATAAGAAGTAAGTAATTATTCGTTTAGTCAGTGAACTGTGTCAGGATAAGACTTCGAGATTTTTTTTCGTACGTTTTAAATTTTTTTGAATGTCAACAATATTTCTATCAGCTGTTAGTCTCATTTGCAAGTTTCTGAAAAGTTTCTGTTCGCGTACTATTTTGAATATTTTTCTCTTGTGAGATAACAGATGACATTTCGCCGGAATTTCGCTGTTGGACATTTTTTACTGGAGATTTTAAACGAACGTACCTATTGACTATCCAACATTTAGCAGAATTGATACGAACGGCTTTAACTGACCTAAAACCAGATTTTAAAAAATCTCGCCAAAGGGATCTTTTGAATTTTCTTTCATATCTAATTTACGTACAACAGAATAATAATAAAATTAATGTTTTTCATTTCTAATAATAATTGTATTTAAAAATAAAGTTTTTGTTTTTCTTGTTCTTTTTTCTGTGGCTCTTTATAGCATTTAGAACTTAGATGTTCTTAGACTTAGAACAGCAAACAACAGCTGAGCTACGAAGCAATGACATGCTATGTATAACAGTATGTTTGAGATGGAATGACATGGCATAGCATGTATGAAATTTTTGAAAATGACATTTTAATACATATGTTAAGAAAATGTTTAAATTTATATTTTGTTACCTACTTCACCGATTTGAAATCTGAAAACTATACCTCTCATGAGCATGAAAGAGTATTATAACTTTGGTCCGATATTTGTAAGTACCAGAATAAGATGATATAGACTCATGAAAATGTGTACTTATGTATGTGACCAGAACATCGAGCTGAGCCGACTTAGGCATATGGCAACCGACCAACTTCAGTTGGGTGGCCAGTGGCTGAAATGGTTTTACAGATGGCAACTGCAAGCTGGCAACTGAGTTGCAATATTGGCAACTGCATTTTTGTGGTCGCTGCGGTAATAATCGAAGATTGTATACCTGCATATAAGGTAAACTCCAAAGCCCCTACGTAGCGACGCCCATGCATTTTACTATTTGCAAATCAGTTTTAAACTCTTTGCCTTACACACTAGCACTTACACAGTCCAGTACATCATTAATATTTTGATTTCCACTCATTTTACTTTTGTTTGTGCTAAACCAACTCAACAAATGGCTGCTTTTGATATTTATTCTTCTCTTTTTCTGCTAATTTCTGCTAGCAAAAATTTCACTAGCAAGAATTTGCAGCTCTCCGTGTTGTTACGCTCTCGATTCAGTGCTCTCTTGCAAATTTTTTGGGTTATCATACACTTTTCCAGTAAAAATTTGCAGGTTCCAGTACAAATTAGTACTGACTATTGGTTACTATACAAACCTAATATCATTTTGATTTTTGCTACTATTTTATTGCCCGTAGCTGTATATCATATATGTATGTATGTATATCTCAAAAACTACTTCACCGATCTATGTATACCAAATTTTTGAAATCGGACAGATTTTGTTAGAACGATACCTGTTTATGTAACATAATAATATTTGCAGCACATATAACGCCCAACAACAAGTCCAAATGGCTGAGAAGCCATGAGAACAACCAAGACAAAATAAGTCACGTTGAAGATAAGAATTTCACCTATGGAAAGCGCAGTGTCAGCGCATTCCATTCAGACTGCAGTAACGCAAACGTAGTTTAAGAAATAATAGAAATACATTGTTATATACAGGGTGTCCCAGAAGTAACGTGCCAAACTTTAGGGCAAGGTAGGTGGGGGGGTGAGCTCACTGATAAACAAAAAATTTTCAGGTAAAAGTGTCACCGTTTTTGAAATATTTACATTTTTTCGAATTTAAAAAAAATCGTGCCTTTTCATGTGTTTTCTTTAACTGCAACTACAAACCGGGCAATACTTAGTAAATTTTTTATGTAAAATACTTCCAGATAGTTGCCTCTCCATACTCAAATGCAATGTAGTTAAAATA